GATATTGTGAGTGATCAAATCAGCCATGTTGATAATAATTTATATTAGGGACATACTAGAGCTTTAGAGTTGGAAGGAGTCTTAGAAATCATGTAGTTCCACAATCCTCCCTTTTGGTTTTAAATGATAAACGTAATGGATATTCATGGTTAAAATTTAATTGGTACAGAAAAGTGTAAGATCAAAGGTAAAAGTTATAGTCCCGTTCCCCGCAACTCGCCATTTCCATTCTCACTCTCTTTTTTTCTCTTAAGAAACAGAATTTCTTTCTGTTGCCTAGGCTGGAGTGCAGTGGTGTGATCATAGCTCACTGTAGCCTCGAACTCCTGGCCTCAAGTGATAGTCTTGTCTCAGTGTCCCAAAGCACTGGGATTATGGGCAAGTATCACCGTGTCTGGCCCATTCCCATTCTCTAGAGTTTACTACCGATAGAGGTTTCTCATGTATGTGTCCAGAAATTTTCTCATGTGTATGTAATGGTAGGCACATATGTGTATCTTTAATAAAATTAAAAATAAAATTTTTAATTTTTAAAAGATTAAGTAGAACAATACTTTACAGATCTTAACTATTTTGTTCCTTTTTGTTCACTGCCTATATCATCTGCATTTGGATAGTTTCCAGTTTGTTGCTATAACAGTCAATGCTGCAGGGAATGTTTTAATACATGCAGGTTTTCCTATTTGGGCAAGTTTATCTGGAAAATAGTTTTGGAACAATTAAGTCAAAGAGGATGTGAATTCAGATTTTCATGGATTGAATATTCTCCTACAAAGAAGGCTATACCAATTTATGCTCTCATCTTAAACCTTACTCACCTTTTTTTTAAAGCTTAGAAAATTTGAGATTCAGAGAAATTAAATGAGGTCTGGAAGTTAGGTAATGGCAGAACAAACTGGAACTTAAAAAATTTCCTAAAAAGTGTCCTATATTGTTCTTGCCATTACATACTTCTTGACCACTTTTGAAAGAGTTTGAAAGTTTTGTTTTTGTTTTTGCTTTTTTTTTGCCTTTAAATTCCTTATTTTAAAATCGTGGGAGTACAATTCAGGGTTAGGTATTCAAATATTTACTGATGAAAGTTTTTTTTAAAGAAAATTTATTTTTTATGATTTCAAAAGTCAGAAATGTTTATTGTAAAAAATTTGCAAATTAAAAAAGTTAAGGAAGAAAATTAAAATAATCCTTACATCTTAATTAGATATATCACATTAGCATCTTGGTGTCTTTATTAATATTTAACATATTTTAAATTAAAATTAGGATCACACCATAAACTGTTTTGTAACTTTCTTTTTCATTTACCAGTATATAGTAAACATTTCCCCAGGTTTACATGAAGACATATAAACAAAACCTGGTTTTGTAGACAATCTTTATAGACAATGGAATAACTTCCTAAAATTCGAATTGCATGGTAAAAATACATGATGTGTTTTAAAAGGCTTTAGATATACACTGACAAACTGCCCACTAGGAAAGTTGTATCAGTTTACATTCCTATCAATTTACATTTTAAGCACAAGAAGTTTTTTTAGTTTGTTTGTTTATTTTTTTGAGTTGAAGTCTCACTCTGTCGCCCATGCTGGAGTGCAGTGGCACGCTCACTGCCACCCCAGCATTGACTTCTTGAGCTCTGGCGATCCTGCCGCCTCAGCCTTCCAAGTAGCTGGAACTACAGGCATGTGCTACCATGCCTGGCTAATTTTTGATTTATTGTAGAGGTGAGGTCTGGCCAAGTTGCCCCGGCTGGTCTTGAACCTGAGGGCTCAGGCAGTCTACTCGCCTTGGCCTCCCAAACTGCTGGGGTTGTAGACTGAGCCATGGAGGCCATCGAGCCCAGCCACAAGAAGTTTTTTTTTTTTTAAAGAAAAAGTACAGCCTAGGACTGTCAGAGGTGGAATTACTAAAGTGATATGTTGCAGTCATTATGGGGTAAGGGCGAGGTAGGTTTTGAATATAGACATTCCTAAGCTTTAAAATGTTGAGAGAAATTTCTGATAAAGGTCAGAAGAACTTTTGACCAGGTAACAGAAGTTCTTATAACTTTTAACTGTAAAACGCCGTGATAAATACTGTGGTATTCCTGAGGCTGCCTTACAAAAAAATCATACCAAACAATTATGTTAGATGCAATATTAACCTTAACAACAACAGGAATAGTAAACATTTATTGAGTACTTACTATGTACCTTGAAGATTCTGAAACATATATTAAACAGTGATACTTGATTAGCAAATCTGTAGGAAAAATATTTCTTAATGAGTTCACCTTAGCAATGTTAAAAGGGAAAGAAAGGCTTGTGTATGCTACAAGGCCTCATTTGATTCTACATGTAGGTACTGTCATTATTCCAGACTTACAGCTGCAGAAATCAGTGTTAGAGTAAGACTCTGAGACAGCATATGTTTCCAAAGCCCATGATAAATCTCTGGAAGTGTACCCAATGAGGTAGGAGGTGCCATTATGATGCCAGTTGCTGCTGTCAGATGGTCAAGGACACGGTGTAAAATAACATTGACTTCCTAGTGCAAAAGTTGAACCCTTTCAGACAGAATTGGGCATGTTCAGAGTGGTATGGCTGTAGACAAAAGTTGAGCCCTTTCAATTCTCTTTCAGTTTTACTGATTATGCCAAGGGTCAGTTTGATAAATGTTTGTCTTAATGTCTCTCTAATAAGTGCGTGTTAATGTCCCTTTTCAATAAAAACTCTAAAATGTAATCATTTTATTTTTTTTTTAATGCATTTTTTTTGCTATCTATTTGAGCCATAATAAGGGTTTTCCACTTATAGTAATAATGAAGTTTCTAGTAAAATTTTTCTGACTTAAATTGTTTTAAAGAAAATAAAAAGTCACATCCTACTTTCCTGTATCTTCTGTCCACTCAAAAATAACTCCTTCTATTTATTTGAGTTATCATTCCTTTTTTAATTTAATTTTATTTTTTAGTTAATCCACACCTTCTGCAAAAATTAAGATTTTTAATTCAGCAGTTGTGAGGTGGGGTATGGAGGTGATTATTTAAAAATGTTAATTATAAAATAAATATAACTATAATTTGCAGTAATTTTGATTAGAGAACCAGTTTTGCTATAATCTCACCATTGTAAGATAACTGCTATATTGTTTTTCTTTTTTCCTAGTGTATATTCATTTTAATAATAACAACCTTTATTATTTATTTCTAGCTTCTTTTCTTTTTTTAATTTTTGAGTTGTGTTCTCACTCTGCCACCCAAGTTGGAGTGCAGTGACACCATCATAGCTTACTGTAGCTTACTACCTTCTGGGCTCAGGCAATCTTTCTACCTCAGCCTCCCAGGTAACTGGGACCAAAGGCTTGCACCACCACCCCCAGCTAATTTTTACTTATTTATTTATTTGTAGAGACAAGGTCTTGCTATGTTACCTAGGCTGGTCTTGAACTCCTAGCCTCAAGTGATCCTCCAGCCTTGGCTTCCGAAAAGTACTGAGATTGCAGGTGTGAGCCACTGCACCCGGTCAGTTTCTAGACACTTTTCTAAGCATTTTAAAAAAATCTAATAAATTATTTCATCTTCTCAACCACTCTGTGATGTAGATATATTATCCCTATTTTATAGGTGAGGACACTGAAGCACAGTGATTTTAAGAAACTTACCATGAGGACTTGAATCCAGGGCATTGGTCTTCTGGGCTTGGACCTTCAGTCTCCATGCTATGCTGTCTCTAGTATTTAGCAATGCTTATTAGCACTGCCATTATTACAGTCTATCCTTATTTTTCCTTTTTGCTTAACACATAAATATTTTCCTCTTGTTGTGTAGTTCTCAGATTTTGTAAGAATAACTTAATTTTGGTATAATTTACAGTAAATAAGCTGCATCCATTTTAAGTGTTCTGTTTGATTAGTTTTGTGTAACCACCACTGTAATTAGGATATTGAACATTTTGATCATCCAAAGAGTTCCCTTGTGCTACTGCTCCCCATTTATAGTACTTCCTCCTCAGACCTTCACATGGGTAAGAAAAGGTAAGAAATCTATTAATCTATTAATACAACCCCCCTCTTGTCTATCCTGCCATTTTTGAAGCAATTTGGGGGGGGTAAAATTGTGTGAGATTGTGATTTAAATTAATTTTTTTCTAAATTTCCACCTGTTTACTGCAGTACTGCTTATTGGATAGATGTTTCCTGCCCACTGATTTCTGGTGTCTTCATGACCTAGGGTTCTACCGTTACACTATGGAGGCATTATGATGTATGTATCCTGAAATCAGGCTGACCTGTGTTTAGATCCTGGCTCTCCACTTACTAGCTAAACTTTGGACATGTTATTTATCCTATTTGAACTTTTTTTGTTTCTTTATCTGTAAAATAGGATGCTAATCTTAGCTATCATAGGATTATTGGGACAATTCAATGCAGAGAGTTAACACTTTTTAGAAAAGTGCCACATTGGTATTTTGCCAGGTGAGCTTGATTAAAAATTGCTCTATACCTTATAACATGATATGCTTTTGCCCAAGTAAAAGCAACAAACATAACCAAAAAAAGCAATAGTTGCATCATGAAAAAGCTCATAAAACTATGTTATTTCCATAATTTTTTTCTGAGCTCTTGCAAGCGTAGTTATGTCATTGTTGGAGGGTGTGTGTTTTTCCATTAGCTCAGTGGAATTTAATTCCCAGCACATGGAGGTGAGCGGAATGTTGTATGAGCCGAGCCTGCACAATTAAGACTGAAAAAAAAATTGCTGAACTCCATCAAGCTCTTAGATCCCGACTTCCTTGCCTCTTAGCTGCCAGCTGTGTTCCCGGTGTGGGCCTTTGTTTCTCCTGTCCTGACCTTCACTTCATACCAGTTCTCATTCTTGCTTCTTGTCACAGTCACGGATCTTCCCTGACTTGTTCTGTTTCTAGAGACATTGGGCTCCTTTTTTGAACTTGTTTTTCTTTTCACTCTATCAGCAAGTGCCCTTGCGTAATTTCCAAGTTCATACAGGACAGAAGTAGCAGATGGCCACAGAAACGCTAAAGGTGGGACAGAAGGCTGGGGAATAGATGGGAAGCCTGTCCCCACGACCTGTGGGTCTTAGTTCTTCAGCGAGAGCTCTGGGAGAACAGAGGAGACATGAGTTTCTATAATCCTAAAATGAATTTTGTTTTTCTTCTTTTTCAGTACTAACTTAAACTGGATTTTCAACTCTGTGCATTGATTGGCATCTCTTACCTCTATTGTCCATGAAAAGAAACAATTTTGGGGAAAGATTTTCATCTATTCATAGTAAATGTAACTGGGAGGAAGACTTGGAAGCAGTGGAGCTTGGTGGCTGCACCAGGATGATAGTTATTATATTTTGAGTATAAGGTTGTCCCCGGGCAAAGTGAAATGAACCAGAAGACAAATGAGAATGTAGAAAGCTATGCTCAATTCCTTCTAAAACCCCAGAAACCCATTAAGCCCTATATCTGCTCACCTCTGAATGATTTTCAAGAGGAGAGAGACTTTTTAGCAAACAACATCTTCCCTCAGCTCAATGATCTCTGCAGTTCCCGGGGCACATACTTCAAAGCTGTGGACCTCAGTTGGTCAGCGCTTAAGGCCCCGAAATCCTTGCCCTCTGACCTGCTGCGACAATATTCTTGTCTCCGCTCCCAACATCTCAAGCTCTGTCTCGATTATGTGAACATCTGCTTCCCCTTTTTCATCTGCATGCTGGGTCAGACATACGGAGACTTTCTTCCTGACAACTCACCTTTCATGTTCGCCAAAGCAACTGACTTGTCCAATTTATCCAGTGTAGAACAGAATCTCTACATTGCTGCAAAAAATGGTTATCCTTGGGTCCTGGAGAATCCCAACTGCAGTCTAACAGAGTTTGAGATTATCCAAGCAGCATTTCTGAAGGAGTCTCAATTTCAGTACTTTTACTTTAGGACTGGAGCCACACTGCTGAAGACTTTAGATGAGCAAAAAGAGGACAGACTGCCCTCAGCTCCTCCAATCAATGAAGAGGAAAAATTGAGGATTGGAAAGCTCAAGGCCAAGATTATTAGTAAAGGGCTTCCCGTCAGATTTTATAGAGATCTCCATGAGTTGGGTGAGCTGATTTTCAACGACTGGTCAGTTGTGATAGAAAAGCTTTACCCGGCCACTTTAATGATTGAAAATATAGGTTAGTAAATATAGAGCTAACTAAGTCTGTTATCAACATAAGGTTAATATTTTGTAGGTCTTCCTTGTGATAGGAATTTTTAAGTGATTGGAAATATTTTGTAAGCATTTAAAATTGTTACTACATTCTTGTAACATGTATTTCTCTACTTTAAAGATTTTTAAAATTGAAAATAAGAGCAAGTAATGAACCATGGAAGATTATTTAGGAAGTTAAGGAGCTCAGAGAAGACCCCAACTATCTGGCAGTTAACATGTGGTTCTAGAGCAGTGACTCTCAACCAGGTCTGATTTTGCCCTATCAAGGGATGTTTGATCATGTCTGAAGACATTTTTGGATGTCAAGATTGAAAAGAGAGCTACTGGCATCTAGTGGGTAGAGACCAGGGATACTGCTAAACATTTTGCAGTGCACAGAACAATCCCTATAATAAAGAATTTTCCAGCTCCAGCTAGACTTTCCAACTAGAATTTTCTAGCTAAAGGGAAGAACTTGTATGAATTGTCTGATGCTTTTTGTATGTTACCACATTTAATCTTCAAGAGGTGACCATGCAAGTTAGGTGCTATAATACTGGTTTTGCAGAAGAGAAAATTAAAACTTCTATACAGCAGTTAAGTGACTTATCAGTGACACATAACTAGTGAGGGACCAGTCTGGGATTTGAATCCATCTAAAAATCCATGCCTGTTCTCCTTCAGCTGTACTATCAGAGTGTAATCTGTGGACCAGCAGCCTTGGTGTCACCTGGGAACTTGCTAGAAGTGCAGAATCTTGGGCCCCACTCCAGGACTGCTGAATTAAAATGTGCATTTTAGTAAGATAACCAGGAGGTGTGAATGCACATTCAAGTTTGAGAGGCACTGCCTGACATCATATTACCTCTAAATGAAACAGTTGCCTTTATTTTACAAATATCGTCTTACGAACATGTACCAGGGATTCTTCACCTAGACAGACTACAGAGGGATCTGTAATGATTATATGAAAAATAGATTATATGAAAGTTATGTCAACACTTTTATATACATATGTGTGTCTTGGGGATAGGAAGATGGCCTGTGTCTGTCTTTGATCAGATTTCAAAAGGCTTAATGACCTAAGAGTGGTTGTGAATTACTGAAGAAAGTGCCCAATTAATGGGGGATGAAAGTAGTGGCAGGTGGTGCGTTCTCAAATGCTTTCAGGGACCAGGCAGACAATAGTCCTTGTAATCAGATAGGGGAGCAGATGGATCTGCAGGGAACAGGAGAGTCATTCAGTGAACAGGAGAGAGAATTCAGTGTAGGTGGTGGTGAAGACCAACCTGTGCTGGCCAGACAAAACTGCCTACAAGCCAAATCATTTTGCATCCTGGGAAAGAACATTGTATTAGTCACAACTCTTTTGGTTGAGAGTGACTTAAACTGGCTTCAACAAAAAGGGAACTTATTAACTTACATAACTACCAAGCCCAGGATTAGGTCTGGTTCAGCTCAGGCTTTATCCAGTGGCTCCATTGATGGTACCAGACCCTCATCTCTCACGACTTCTCAGTCTGGCCCTGCTATCCTGATGTTGGCTTAACTCCTTGACTCTTCTGTTGTGGAGGAAGATGTCTGTAGCAGCTCCAGGTTCAAGTCCAGCAGAAGTGGCTCAGAGTCTTAGCATTCCTAGCAGTGAGTCTGGCCATAATTAGCCTGATGTGGGCCACATGCTTGTCTCTGACTCAGTCCCTGGTGCCAAAAGAATATGATGCTCTGACTGGCTGACTGGGCCATAGGCCATCTCTGGAGCTGAAAGTGGAGACAGACCCACTGGAATAATATGAACTGAGAATTGGGATGGATGGATCCCAAATGGTAATGGAATCTAGGGTTGTTACTCAAACTAGGGTAGGGCAAATGGATAATGGGTAGCCAAAAAGTAATCCCAAATATTTGCTACCTGTTTGGGGTTTTAGAATCTCATAGACATGTCCTCAGATTCTAGATTTTTCTATTCCTAGCCATGTGACCTTTAGCAAATTAGTTAATATTGGTAAGCCTTAGTTTTTTCTTCTGTAAAATGGACTAACTTGACCTCTTTTAGGGTGATAATGTTTATAAAACATCTGAAAACAGCACTTAGCTCATATTAGGCACAGAGTAAATAGTTAACAAGAATGAATAATAATAAATGGGTTCTGGGAGAATGTATACATTTGGCTAGAATCAGAAATGTAGTTTATATTCTTTTACTAATCTCAGTCTGAACTGCATTCATTGATTAATATTCACTAATGTGTTCAAGGCTCAAGCCTTCCTGTGTGTTTGGGTCAGGGTCAAATTATTTCTCCATAATACTCTCCTTAGTCTTTGACTTGGGATATTATGGAATGATTAGCTTGTTTTAGACTTTATTCTTGAATGTTTATATGTGGTCTAAATGTCTGAATTAAGTAGGAGGCACAGAATGGAAGAATTATAAAAAAAATTCTTTAGAAGGAAATGATAAATTCTTTCTCTTTTGTGTCTTTGATATTCTTAATCACCCAGGTAACTCCAGAATCTCATAGTGATTATTGTAAGACAATATAGAGCTGTCACTTTATACTCTTGAACCTTAGAAGCACTTTTGAGGACTTTGAAGGTACTTGAGAATAGTGGGTGAGGTTCAAGATTAGCTCAAGAGGTCTGTTGGACTGTAAGGTCATCCCAAATTCTGTCTGAGACTGAAACTTCAAGCTGACCTTGGCCAGCCTATAGGTCCTCTGGGTCTATTCTGGTCCTAACCTAAACCATGAGGTAGCCCAGTTAACTATGAAGGTACAAGATGAGTGTCTTGAAAACCTACCAGGTTAGCCTATCTTATTTCTTTCCCTGCATATGTTGATAACACCCTGTACCCTTACAAAGAGAAACTTGAGGAATATGGGTGTCTTCAGAGACAGTTGGGTGTCTTGGCTGTCCAGAACACCCTGACTTTAGTTAATGAGTTTACAACTGCAGGAAATTGAAGCTGGAAGGAACTTCAGAGATCACCCAATTGTCTGGCCCTCCTCCTTTATTTTACCAGAGAGTTTAAGGGACTTGCCCCATGGCAGAGCTGCAATTATACCCATGGCTGTCGTCATTATTAGGGCATCTTATCCTAAAAATATACCCCACTCTCCCAAATTCTGCTGTGGATAGACACACACACATATCCCATGAGATTGAAATAGATAACTTTCTACTTAGCTGACAATTTGAAAAATGACAGAATTATGTAGAAAGTCAAATTTTTTTTGCCCTTGTCATTATGAGGTCATGAAATGTATAAATAGCATGAGGAAGGTTAAGTCGCGTGCCTATAGTTTTCTTTCACTAGCTTATAGAATCTTTCATTAGTAAATAGAAGGCATTTATAGTAATGTGAAGTGAAAATGTAAAACTACAATCTAAGATTAAAAGAGACCATCTTTTTGGCTATGAAGACTACAAGCACAGCTTTGAACATTTCTATCATGAAGAGTTTACTGAAAAGTGTCAGCAGTTCGTTATCTCCAAGGAGTCAAACAGGACCTTTGAAATCTTGGAAAGATTTGCCTTAAAGGATGTGGAACTTGATTCCAACACTGCAGCTGCAGGTTCCAGTTTGGATTCAGTTCTCAGGTGAGATGTTAAGGAATCCCAAGCCTTTTCATGGGGCTTGAGCAAAACTTTGGTAAGTGCGATCCCCCCAATTTGCAATGTCTTCTTCTTGCACTTCTCCCATGCTATGATCATCTCTTATTGCAAGAGAGACCCCCAAAAAGCCACCCCTGGGTTAGGATTTCCTTACAGATATCACTCTGCACTTGCACAGCTTTGCTGGTATTTCACATACTTTCTTCCAGTATCTTCAAGAAAATCATAAACTTCCAGAGAGCAGTGAACTCGCCTTCTTTTTTCTCCCATACTTCAAAGTTGGTCTAAGTAATTCTCAAGAATGATGGAATGACTCGAAGAGAAGCAGTTCGATTAGGAAATATGGAGAACACATCTGCACAGTGTTGTGTAGTTTACAAAGAACTTCCACATGCATCATAAGCTCATTGTTAATTACACTGAGATATTCGGCCAGTGCTTACTATTATGATATGGACCATATCATTATTTGTGTCTGTGTGAAAATAATCAGATTATCTTGTTCCAGAGGAGGTGGCACATGCCTGTAGTCCCAGCTACTTGGGAGGCTGAGGCAGAAGGACTGTTCAAGTCCAGCCTGGGCAATAAAGTGAGACCCTGTCTCCAAAAAAAAAAAAAAAAAAGAAGTCAAGTTATCTTACCCAATGTATGCACTCCTTCATTGTTTCATCCAGTGTCCTCCATAATAAAGTCCCCACAGCTTTCCCACCCTGGGTGGTGACATACCCACCCAGGGGTAAGAGAGCTGCAGTTTGTTGATGGTGCTCCTCTCACTCTCATCCCTAGAAGTGGAGAGGTTCTTAGGACGGTCTTATTTCCTCCCTCCTCATCCTTCAGCTCTTACCATGGATCTCATTTGTCCTGTGAGAGTCTGGTGATTTGAAAGAAACCGGCAGTGGCTGGCCGTCTTCCCCATCACTGCCCTGGGCTCAGCCCCACCAGTTTAGTTCACTTAGGCACAGAGCTACCAATGTTCTTGGTGCACTAGGAGCCCATGCCAAGAGGAGGACAATTTATCTGGCCAATACAATATGGTCCTCAGTCAATGTTTTAAGACTATACGAGAAACATATGGGCCATGTGTTAAAAATGTTAGGTTTGAGTAGGCAAATCCATAGAGACAGAAGGTTGATCAGTGACTGCTGGGGAATGAGGGTAGTGGAGGAAATGGAAAATGACTCTCAATGTGGAGACAGTTTTTTATTTGGGGTGTTGAAAATGTTCTGGAATTAAATAGCAGTGATGTTTGTACAGCCTTGTGAATATAATGACGACCACTGGGAAAAGAAGTGATTTTTTTTTTAGCATGTGAGTTATTTCTCACTTGGGTTATAATTTTAAGTACTTCAGAGTGGAAGAGAAATTTAATACATTTTATTGCAATCAAACGACTGAAAATATCACACTCAATAAAAATAAAACAAGTAAGTCCTTTTAGATTCGCTGTATGTAAACATTCAGGGCTTTGTTTGCTTTGCCATCTGGAAACAATGCTCTGTACTGTAAGTTCCTAAATAGCATGCATAGGTCAACAGAAAAGAGTTCTTTTAAAGTTTCAAAGCATTGTCTTAATCACCAACCATCTGATCAATGGTATTCCATTTTTCTCATATTGAAAGGAAACCAGATCTTTGTGATGTTTTCATTTTGTTTGTTCTTGAGAAGAAATCACCAAGATCCTAGCCCTACTTAAGTAGACACAACATATTTGCATTTTTCCTTCATTGATTTTACCTGCTAGGTGCAATAACTGTCTAGACACAGGATATGACAGTAAAGAAGAGAACTCAAATCCCTGCTTCCATGGAGCTTTGTCAAGAAAGGCAGTACACATGATGCATATGTAAAATACCCATCATTGTAGAGGCTTTCGAGTGCTATGGAAGTAAAGGAAACATTGAGAGTAATTAGTCCATCTGGTGTGGTGAGGGCCACCCTACTGAGGAGGTGACATTTGGGAAACTACTAGAAGTAGGTGAAGGATCAAGCTCTGCTAATATGAATGGGGCAAGCTTTCAGACAGAGGTTGCTATAAACATGGAGGCTCCGAGGCTGGAGGTCAGGCAGTTGTAAGGAAGTCAGAGCTGTGGGGACAGTGGTAGGGAGGGAGGTTGGAGATGTGAAGGATGACAGTGAAGGCGTAGGTCTTGTCTGGTCTCACAGGTCATCGTAAGGACTCAGGCTCTTACTACTTTTGAGCAGAGCAATGAGCTACCTGTATGACACCTTTTGACAGGCTCACCCTCACTGCTTGGCTGGCAATAGTGTGAAAGAGGGCTTTGGTGGAAGCAGAGCACAAAATCAAGCTCAACCATTCAAATTTCCTAGGGAAATAATTTCAACAATAAGTGCTGATTCCTAATTCACATTGATAGAGACGGAATTCTTATGAAGTAACTTCTAGTGGCACTACTTTAGGTTTTCTATTTTAATCCGACTGATCTTGCTTTGTTAAATGTGAATGTCAGGTTTATCTATTTTATTTCATTCAGTCATTCAACAATTTATGGTCAGGTGCTTTGCTAGTCACTAAATATCCAATAGTGAATAAGATAAGCCCAGTAACTGCCCTCCTCATGAGACCCACCTCAGTGAAAAATCAGACATATTTGTTGAATGACTGTGTAAGGCACAAGGCTGGAGTCTGTATGTAGTAATATTAACGGGCCTGAGAATCCTCTGCACATCCAGAAGCTTTTCCCAAAAATTAAAACAGCAAATTATGTTATGCTCTTGCCAGATCAAAGAAATCATGTTTATGCAGTATTATCAGCTATCATCCTGAGAGAGGAGGAGACTGCTTCTCAGTGAGTCATCAACAATGCTGATAATTTAGTTGAATTTATACTTTTATAATCATCAGGATTGATGGGAATTCTTTGGTGGCATATGAGTGCTTCGGTGTTTGATTCTCTTCCAATATGTTGTTATACCAAGGACCAGCTTGGTGATGGTGATAGTAACCCAAGGAAGGAAGACTGGATCGGACACAGGGGCAGTGGGCAAGTGTGATAGCTTCCCTCCTGAGGCCCTGGGCTCTTGACAGAACTCCAGGTTCTTATCAGACAACCCTAGCATCTGTGTAGCTTCTAAGGATACTGTCTCTCTACTTTCCTAACTTTACACAAGACAAAGCTGAAATTCAGAGGGTGAATGACTCCTTTGAAGCCAACTAAGGCCAAAATTGAGACTAGAACTTCATATCCTTTAGAGGAAAATGTATGCAGGAAAGTTTTCTCTTCCCTCTTCCCCCAACCCTCCCTCCCTTTCTGCCTTCTTTCCTTCCTTGGTAAATATTCTTAACTGTATTTTACTCCTTTTTCAGAATCAGTTCCCTTCCAACTGACAAGTCAATTTTGCTCTTGTCTGGAGAACGTGGTTGTGGGAAGTCCACTCTGATTGCCAACTGGGTGAATTATTTCAAAGAGAAATATCCGAGTATGTTGATGATCCCTCATTTTGTGGGGAGTACCTGTGAAAGCAGTGACATCATGTCCGTGATCCATTACTTCATCACAGAATTACAGCACAAAAACTATGGTAATAGATTCAAACTTTTACATTCATTCAGGAAATGTCTGGAATGTTAGAAACAAGCGGCTTTTTCTTCTGCCCATGTGGCTATTGTCTCTTTTTCTGAGCTAAACTCCCTATTGTCTCCCATGTCCACCCACTGCTTCCATTCATAGAGCTGAACTTTCTTCTTCCCCTCCTTCCCTCCCTCTCTCTCTCCCTTCCTTCTTTTCTTTCTCTCTCTACCTCTTTCTCCCTCCCTCCTCCCTCTCTTTCTTCTTTCACCAAATTGAGTACCTTTGTGTGCCAGGGCGCCGTTCCAGGCAGCGGGGGATACAACGGTGAACAGGTGAACACAGTAGACAAAAGTCCTTACCTCATGGAGTTTTCGTGTTCTTGGGGGAGGAGAGAGGGCAAAGAACTAACTGAGTAACTAAATAAAGGATAAAGACTGCTGGATGATGGTGAGTTCTATGAAGAAAAACAAAGCTGGGAAAGAAGGTAGGCAGTGTGTGGGTCAGAGCTATTAGGATTTGAAATAGGGGAGGCTGGGGAAGTCTCACTGAGGCAGGGGCATATAAATAAATACTTGAAGGAGAAGAGGACGAGAGGAAGAGGGATACTAGATACTTCAGGAATAGCCTGGTTCAAGGACACAGGGGCAAGGCCCCTGGCCAGACGAGCCTCTCAATGACTGTGCCTCCTTTTCAGTTCAGTATTTGTTGAGCACGCTCAATTACTCATTCACTCATTCATGACAGAATATTAATTGGTTGCCTGTTCTGTGCCAGACACCCTTCCCAATTCCGGGAATATGAGAGTAAGTCAGGCAAATAAGGACATGGCTCCCATTGATATTATGTTCTAGTTGAGAAAGGCAAATGGCAAATAAATAGGAAACAACAAATAGTGATAAATGTCATATACTGTGATGTGGTAAGGGGACAGGGTGGCTCCTTGAATAGTGAGGGACTGTGGCTCTCAGGGTGACTCTAGCTGCTGTGTCAGCAAAATTACCTTTCAGTGGCTCAAGTGGAAGTTTATTTTTTCCTCTTGTAACATTCTAAGATGTGATCTCTAGTCAGGTAACAAGTAGCTTTCCTCCGTGGGTGATCTGGGGACACAAGCTCTTTTCATGTTGAGGCTGTGTCATCCCTAGGATTTCAGAGTCCTCTGCTTATGGCTTAGAGGAAAGGGGAGAGAATAGGAAAAGCACACCTGCTCCTTAGAAGTCTTGGCCTGGAACTGGTACATCTCAGCTTCTTTTGGCAAGAACATGGCCACATGGGGCCCACATGGCCCACTGGGAACGGAGCAGAGATGGAAAGCTAACCCTGCCCTGTTGAAGGGGGAGTGTGAGCTTTTGTGGAACAAATAGCCATTGTGTCTGCTGCTCTCTCTGGAGAGATCTCCTTGACAAGAAGGGACCAGCCGTGTGGCAACCAGAAGAAAGAACATTCCAGGCCAAAGGAACAGCTAACAATACAGCTCCCAAACGGGAAACAAAGTCGAGTGAATGAGAATGGGAAAGAGGGCCAGTGTGGCCTACTGGTGGACTGAGGGGGAGTCGACCTGACAGAGCAGGAGGCGGGGGGGGCGGCGCCACTTCAGGTCTGGGCTTCTGTAGGCCAGAATATTGGGTTTGGACCCTATTAAGTGCAGCGGAGGCCTGTGGAGGCTGTTGACATGACTTGAGTGCCGGTTTTAAAAGCTCACAATCAGCCTGTTGTGGGGAAAATGGATGTGGGAGCAAGCATGAGGCAGGGCCACTTGTTAGGGACTGTGTCGGTCAGAGAGGCTGGTGGCTCGGAGAGGACAACGGCAGTGAAGTGGGAGGGTCTCTGATGGAGTGAGGATTTGCTGAGTAACTGAACATGTGGGTTGAGGGAAAGGGAAGAAATGAGGACTCCTTAGGAACCTCTAGCTGCTGGCTTTAGGAAGCTGGATGGACGTGAGGGCTTTGACTGAGACGGACGACCATGGTGGGGTGGGGTGGGAAGCAGGGTTTGAGGGAAACTGGGAGTTCTGCTGGGGACGTGTACTACGTGAGATGCAAGGTGTGTGTCTGTCTCGGGCCTGACTGTGCTAGAAGCAGTGGGGGGGACCCTGACCGCCCCCATTCAAACCTTGCGCCGCTTCTTAGCCCTGTGACCTTGGGTGAGTTATTTTAACCTTCTGTGGCTCACACTCACGTTCGTAAAATGTGGTTGATAATAATAAAAATGTGCCTTGCCGGGCTCGGTGGCTCAGCCTATAATCCCGCGCCTTTGGGAGGCTGAGATGAGTGGATTGCCTGAGCCCACGGGTTTGAGACCCGCCTGGGCAGCAAGACCTCATCTCTACAATAAATCAAAAAATCAGCCGGGCGTGGTAGCGCATGCCTGTAATTCCGGCTACTTGGAAGGCTGAGGCGGAAGGATCGCCGGAGCCCAGCAGGTGAGGCTGCGGTGACCGGGAGCGGCCACTGCACTCCAGTCTGGGCGACAGAGTGAGACTCCAACTCAAAAAAAAAAAAAAAAAATGTGCCTTACAGGTAATTGAGAGGATTAGCTAGATAAAGTGTGACAGATAAAGGTGCTTAGCTCAGTGCTTGGCATGTAGTAAGCAGTGATGAATATTTACTTATTATTATTAAGCACCTGCTGTGTACTTGCATGTTTGTATGTGTCTGACTTTGTCTGCTTTTGGGAATTCATTTCTTCTCATCAGGGGCGTGTACCCACGTGTGTCTCTGGGTCCTGAGTGTGTGTGTGTGTGTGTGTGTGTGTGTGTGTGTGTGTGCCCACTGGGTGGGGTTTTGATAGATAGATCTTATCTCTATGAGGGGGACAGGGACTTGAGTTTCTTTCTACGCATGTGATGAGTGTCTGTGAGGCCTCTATGACTGCGTTTCTCAGAGCATGTAAAGTGGGTAAAATCAAAATGAGTAGAAACAGGCATGATTGTGTCTATACGGCGACTAATCCTATTCTGGCATATCCCAAAGGTATTCAGTCTGGCCATGTTGGTGATGCAAACTCAGTGGTACACACCCAATTATGATTTCATTCCCAAGTGGATTATTACTTTAATGAGTGTGGTTTTTGGGTGCGGAAAGCTCCTAGTAAGAACAGCTGCTGTCTTTCAAACATGCAGGTCTGTAGGCTGACAACAGCAGAATAAATTCAGGAACAGCCTAGGAATGCTTGACACTGTCTCTCCCCGAAAGAACACCCCTCCTTGTTAATGGTGGGAGGCCAAGGGGAAGGGCTGTGGTCCTGGACCTGGCCCACAGTTCTGGCTATGCTACTTAACTAGCTGTGTGATCTTGAGCAGTTGACCTAAGCTCTCTGTGCCCCACTTTCTCATCTGTAAAATGAAGGTGGGATTAAGAGGACCTACCCGGTACGACTGTGTGAAGATTAAAAGATAATACATGTAAATAATTGAAAGTCATACATGGCACACTGCTGCCATCATTATTGTTGTTACTATTGTTGCTATTCTTATTCTTCACTGAGCTAGAGAAAGAAGCAGGGAGTGGGGGCTGCTAAGAGAAACAAGACATCCTTGTTCATTGCTGGGTTAAGGAGAGGAAGAACTACCGTGTGAGAGTTGCAGCTGTCACCTCTGCAGCCCAGAGAGGCTGAGGGTGAGCGTAGAAGGCAGTCCCAGGGTATTCCGGCACAGCTGCCTGTGCCTGAACAGGGTTTTACCTGGGTGAGGTAGATGTGGGCCGAGGAGGGGGAGCGGCTGCTGAGGACGCAGCGGGGGAGGCCAGGTACTGAGAGCAGATTCTGCTGCTTCGCAGAGAGCATTTTCCTGTCACCTGCCTCAGCTGTCTGCAGCTGCAGCTCCTGCGAGGCAGGGATCCTCCCAGTCGGGGATGTGAAAACACTCCCTGTGCCACTCACATCTCTGCTCCTCTGTCCTCAACCCCTGCTGGCCAGGATAAAGGGATCTGGGGAATGAGCACTGCCTGTCGCCAGCTCTCCTGACTCTCATGGCCTTCGCCTGCCTTGTGCTACAGAAGGCACGCACCACAGGTCAGCGTGGGATCACCGGCTTTCTTATTTGCGTGTTTTCTCTCTGTGTCACCCTATGGGACTCGGTGGCAATTTCGAATTGAAAGCTTTCTGAGTACCAGGCACTGTGCTAGGGGCTTCATCAGTGTCTCATTTAATGCTCTTACTGACCTGTCCTTAATATTATCATCCCAGATAGGGAGACTGAGGCTCAGAATGACAGGGCCACATGGTTACACAGGGTTGAGCAGGGTGTGCAAACTCGGGTCTCTGCTGAGTTGAAGTGCCTGGTCCTTGTCACTGCACCGTCTTACCTCCTTGAGTCAACAGATGAAAATTTCCCTCTTTTGGGTTACTTCCATCAGGGTTCTTGACCAGCATTAGATGTCAGGAAAGTTTACATTCAAAGTGGCTTTGTGGAACAGGTGGAATCCTTGGCAGGGCTCTCTAAGCTTTGCGCCCTGGGCTCTGCTGACTTCTCTTTCCCGCCAGTTAGTCTTCTTGGAGCACGCCAGTCACTTCTGTCCTTCCATAGCTTTGTCTGCTTACTCTCTTCTCCTGAAACGCCCCTCCCTGTTTTCAGGGCAGTGAAATCCTTCTCATCTTTTAGGCCCTATTCAAAAGTCACCTCCACTAGAGGGGCTGATGAATGCCTCTGTACCTCAGCCTCAGCTTCGATCGGGCAGCAAGGGGAACCCTGTCCCACCGCATTTTAGTTCACGTGGGTGTCTCCCTCCAAATACTGTGAGATTTCCTCTCCGGGTCCCTCAGGTGACTTCCAAATGGTCCTGTTGTTGTACTTTTAATTGTCTGTCTCCTTCCATAAATTCGGTGAGTTACAGGTATTACATTTATTTTATTGGCCATTGTTATACTCAGTGCCTGGTACAGATCCAGAAATTTCTCAATAAATCTATGTTGGATGAGGAGAGACAACACAGCTAAAAAGTATATGTGTTTGTTAGTCCCTAAATGAATGTTCAAACACTTGAGATGTTGCCACTTAAATTAGGCAATGGGCCAGGTATGGTGGCTCACATCTATAATCCCAGCACTTTGGGAGGATTGCTTGGGCCCAGGAATTCGAGATCAGCCTGGGTAACGTAGTGAGACCTCATCTCTACACACACACACACACACACAAAATTAGCTGGGCATGATGGCATAGGCTTGTAATCCCAGCTGCTTGGGAGCCTGAGCCCACGAAGTTGAGGCTGTGTGAGCCATAATTTGTGCTGCTGCACTCCAGCCTGGACAACAGGGTGAGACCCCACCTGAAAAAAAATTATTTTGAGATAAATAAGGCAATAGACCATTTTCATTTAGTAGAGACAGATTGGTCCTGCCAGAATAATAATTAATGTTTAGGATTATTTCCTGATCCTAGTAATGCTAACTTTATCTTCAGCATGATTTTGAGAAAAAATAATTATAATCACCCAAAATGTGGATTTTAAAAACACTCAACACCACTATACAATGCATCCATGTAACCAGAAACCATTTATATCTCCTAAAGCTATTGAAATAAAAAAAAATATATATTGTTTAAGAGGTATCTGGTGGGGAAACAAAAACAAAAACAAAAATTAAAAAAAAAATAACATATGTGCTTTCCTTCATCTACAAAGATATAAGTCGCTCAGCATTATCCTGGAGTATCTTTTCCTAGGATTATTTGCCGATTATATTAGTGATCTGTGCTTTGTGATTGCCAGGTAGTGTGTATTGCTTGAAGGTCATTCACGTCCTCTTTGTCTCTTAGCCTCCATGCCAGCTACGTGGAAGAGGCAGATGATCCTTGCCTCTGAGAGTCCCCACAGAGACTGCTAGTAAACCTTCCACACCAAGAAATGGTGGCCACGCCAGTTTAAAAACAAGTTATTAGAAAAATAAGCGTTGCAAAAGCACCTGATAGTCTGTGTGTTCACTCTGCCTGTCTAGTTTTCTCATCCACAAATGTCTAGTTTTCTCATCCACAAATGAGAGATTTGGACGGGGCCAGGTGATTTCCAGGAACCTCTTCTGCTCTAGAATTCTGTCACTTTAGGTCTAAAATCTCAACAGTATCCATTATTTTATTTTATTTTTGTGCCACTGCCCTCTAGCCTGTGTAACAGGGTGATAGGGTAAGACCTGACTCAAAAACAAAAACAAGGCCCAAAACACCAACTTACTGCCAACCAAACAGTTTTATCCTACAGTAGCATCACATCAGCACTGTTCAACAACACCAAAAATAGCCAGGTAAGAGATGACATTCCATTGCCCCTAGCATACATAATTTTAAATGTTTTCTTAAAAAAAAAACAAAACACCGCAAAACTCGGAGCATGAAGCACTGAGCTTAATTTCTTTCTCTTCTCTTTCTTGGAAAACAATTTTCTTGTTTGACACTAGTTCAATCTCTCTTTTCTGATACCTTCTCCCCCTTTATGTCCCACATTCATATATGTTTCAAGTCATTGATTTTATGATTATTTCATGATATTAAAATCTCTTTAAAATTGATACAACTCTAGTATATAAAAAGATGAATATAGGTAAAGTAATGTTATTATATGTATTTCAACATGTAAATGCTCAGACATGATTCTAATAGAAGACACAATGCCTCTATGTGAAAAATCACCATGAAAGCAATATGTGTCGATCTATACATAGGTTGCCATGGGTGTGCTGTGATCAAGACTGACATCGTGGGCAATATTGTTATAGGGTGGTGATTTTCTGAGATGTGAACAAATCTTGGTATCATCTTAGACAAAACTATGTATAATCTTCCACAATTTATGTGGTAGTTGCTTTCTACATCTGTGTTGATTTTGCGTGTACCAAATTCAAACCCATTCATGGGTTGCCATCTTTAGTTTTTCACCTGTTTGAAATGTTGGGTCAGTGAAACCTCTACTGCATGTGTTTATTGTAAAATGGAGTAGTTTCTAGGTTAGGAGCTTGCAGTTTTTTCTCCCCTTTATGTGACAAATTATCTGAAAGCTGGATAGGCCCAGGGACAAAGCTTCATTGTGTGTGGCTGTCCTGTGTTGTAGGATGTCTCTAATTCCTGGAACCACCCTGTCAAGAACCACTTTTTTTTTTTTTTAGTTGGAGTCTCACTGTTGCCCAGACTGGAGTGTAGTGGCCACTCCCGGCCACCGCAGCCTCGACCTTTTGGGCTCTGGCGATCCTTCCGCCTCAGCCTTCCAAGTAGCTGGAACTACAGGCGCGCGCTACCACACCCGGCTAATTTATTTATTTATTTATTGTAGAGATGAGGTCTCGCCAAGTTGTCCGGGGAATCTCGAACCCACGGGCTCAGGCAATCCACTTGCCTCGGCCTCCCAAGGCGCGGGATTACAGACTGAGCTACCGAACCTGGCCTCCAACCCATCTTAAACCTAACAGGCACAATCCTAAATTCCTCTACCCACAGGATTGGACCCCAGACCTTGGATTCTGGAGATAATTTCTTAGAGAGAACTAAGCCATGATCTAGCAAAAAGCAAAGGGAGTCATTTGAGAGGACCAGCATGCAGACTGTGACTGACAGAGCAGCAGCAACCCCAAATAGTAACCAACTACCTAATATCTGTCTTGCTTTTATTTTCTTTTCATTTTAGAGTTGTGGGCTACATGTGAGGATGTGCTACATAAATAAATGCATGCAGGTGAGGTCTATGGAGCCCTCTCTCCCCCTGGTAGTGGACAGGGTGCCCAATGGGTGGTCGTGTGTTCCTTATCCTCCCTCCTCCCCACTAGTAGAGCCCAGTGTCAGTTGCTCCCACCTTTATGCTCACATGTCCAATGTTTAGGGCCCAGAATGTTTAGGGTCTCTACAATAAATCAAAAATTAGCCAGGCATGGTAGCACGCACCTGTAGATCCGGCTACTTGGAAGAAGGCTGAGGCAGAAGGATCGACAGAGCCCAGCAGGTTGAGGCTGCAGTGGCCAGGAGCATGCAATTGCACTCCAGTCTGGGCAACAGAGTGAGACTCCAACTCAAAAAAAGAAAAAAAAAAAAGATGGGTGGAAGCAGCTGTGTGTGTACATTGCAGAAAGAACCCAGGGCGTGACCCTAAGTAAGCACCTACAGTGAAGGGGTGGCAGGAACTTTCACAGGTCACAAGACATCTCTTTCTTCCCATCTACCTCTTTGTAACACGATCTGCTTTTGCATTCTGAAAAATGAGAGTAATGTTTTGGATGATATAAAATTTTTTTTTTTAAATAAAATCCTGCAAATGTATTGAAGACATCTGTTGGTAGATATCATTATCCCTTTTGGGTTGCATATTTTGAAGATGTTAATCACATGAATACATATATGTGTCAGCTGCACAGCTGTGAGTAGCATTCATTTTTCCCAACCTCTTCTGCCTCCCCAGCCCATTAACATATTTTAGCAATGATGGAAACATTTTCACCTAATTTGAGCAAATTTCTGTGCTGTAGGAACTCAGCTCGAAACGGATGTTCTTAATGAAGACTCAGATGTCTTGATCTTTTCACTACTTGTGGACGTGTTCATTGCTTCCATCAGTTTAAAGCCATGTATACTTGTACTAGATGGAATTGAAGAATTGATTGGCATTTATGGAGTTTCAGGCCAGAAGGTAACATCTTTTAAAAAATAACCCCTATTTATTACTATTTTATAAAAAGCAAACTGCATGATTTAGGATGTATATAATATCTTTCTATTGTATTGCATATTTTGGCCAAATATTATTGGGTTATAACCCAAATATCTTAATCACTTCTTTATAGTTTATTGAACTACTTATATAATGTCTGTATAATGGGACAAGCACCATTTTAGAAACTTCAGGCATATTTAGCACATTTAATCTGCATAGCAACCATATGAGGAAGAGACTGTATTCATCATCCCTGTTTACAAAGAGGGGACTGAGCACAGAGATGTTAGGTAGCTTGTCTAGGGCACTAAGAGGGTTAAGTGGTGGGCTTGGAATTCAGACATGGCAGTCCGGTCCTAGAAATTGTGGGCCTCCTGCATGGGTCTGCCCTTGCTTTATGTTTTAAGGGTCTTGTTGATCCCCCTGCTGTGCTCTTTATGTTTGATAGTTTGGTTTACCTCATCTACGTTGATTTTGCATGTACCAAATTCAAACCCATTCACGAGTTGCCATCTTTAGTTTTTCACCTGTTTGAAATAATATCGGGTAAGTGGAACCACTACTACTTCTTCCTACCAGTCATTACTCTGGGAAGCAGTTTCTTTAAAACTTAAAAGTGTATGTAATCAATTATGTAATGAATAAATTATATAAGTAATAGAGACATCTTATAGAAAATATGATAAGTGAAAAAGGAAAATAGAAAAGTAAATGTACTCATAGCTCACCATTGTTAACCATTTTGTTGGTGTACAGCCTTTTTTCCTATGAATATGGAGATATGCAAACAAATACATGGTTATGTAACTGAAGTTACACACATATTGTTTTGTAATCGGTTTTTTTTTCCCCCCCAAAGTTTTCAAACAAAGTTTATTAGAGAAAGAAGGGAAAAAAGAAACAAAGACGTGCCAGAGTTGGCATGGGCAAAATAAACCTCTGTAATCTGCTTTTTAATTTAATACATGACAGCCATTCAACAAGTATTTATTCAGCACTTACTATGGCAAAGACAGATATTTGGTCACTGCAAAGAAATGGAGCTTTCATTCTAGTGGGGGAATGACAGACATTAATGAAAACACATCACTCAAATAACTATAAAATTGCAACTTTGACAAGTGCTGCTGCGGATCCCTACGTAGTGTTGTGAGGGCATGTAATGAAGGGAGGATGGACAGGCACCTGAAGCAGTTTGGTGCCGTGGTTACGAGCTTGCTTCTGAAGCCAGACCCCTGATTTGGGTCCCAGCTTTGCTGCTTACTAGTGTTGTTAGCGGAAATGCTGATTCAGGGTTCTTTGGTTATTTGTGAACAAAGAACGGGACAGAATACCAACTTAGGCCAGCAAAGCAGAGTTTTATTGCAAGCCAGAAAAGCAAAGCAGGGTTTTTAAAAAGTCTACTCCTAAGAATCAAAAGTAGCGGGCTGTTCAGAGAATGAGACAGCCCATTTATTCTGTGGTTTGGTCTTTTAGAGTTTGTTTTTCTTTGTCTTAGTCTCTGGTCTCTGCTGATTTGTTCCCTCTTGGGCTTGTTTTCCCCCTTTATGGTTAGGTCATAAATCCTTCATGTGACCTGTGACATATGCTAATGTCTAGATATTGTTAATTCTACCTTGTTAAAGTTACAAAGGTCTTTTAACAATTTTGGGGCTATATCCCTTTTACCTTTTCATGACTTATTATACATACATGTAATGAGCTCTAGTTTACAAGTCCAAGCTAATGATTAACATAAAACATAAGTTTGAAACTAAATTTCATAAAGGAAAGTTTACATTTTGAGGATTTTAGGGAATTTTAAAAGAGCCCAACAAGATTGCTCCTTTTTCAGGTTTGCAGGTGTTTCTTTAAAAACATGTATCTTCTCCATGCCTCTTGGTTATTAGGTGATTTCGTATGGCTGGTTTTCTCTCTTAAACATTAGCAGTAATTCGTTAGTTAAGGTCGGTCTCCCTAACAGGTTACATCGAGGAAAGGGGGAAACCACATTCCTAAGGGCAGTATAGAGAGGGAAAAAAATGTGCCCTTTAAAATCCAGGTGGCTTTTGCATTCAGCCCAACTCATCAGGAAAGACGTTTCTTAATGAATGAATAATGTCAGCTGGTTTCCCATTTCCTACCCATTTTCCTCTCAAACTACCTAACAGTGGAATGAGCTAGATGAGACGTTAGCCTTCTGTCCTTCGGGTTCCTCTGCCTTTCTAGAGAGCTGCTAGAAGGATTGGATGAGTTAGTGTATTTAAATTACACCCAGGATTTAACATACAGAGGCCCTGGGTTGATTTAGGGCAGAGGCAATATTAGCTTGGTGAGTGAGTTAGAGGAGAAGATGGCCTTGATCAACTGGGCTGTACAAGCAGCACAGATTCCAGGCAAGCTGTCTACAACCCCCTCAGAAGTTAGCTATCCTTGGGAGGGCTGTCTCTCCCTAGATGTCTAAGGTGCTGAGGGATGCCAAAACATCCTAAGATACAGAAAATCAGAAACATAATTGATACAGTTGGTGCCTGCAGACACACTCAACACAATGCCTGGCTCAGAGTAAGTAGACAGTATGTGACAATTGCTATCACTAGGCAAAGTGGGATGGGAAAGGCATTAAAGGATTCAAGAAAAGATTGTATTAAGTGTTTATTTTGTTCCTGAATAAAACCATTTAGCTCATGATAGTATTGCTGCACTAAGTAACAATTCTTTAGCACGAAATAATGTCCTCTTTTTCAACAGAATGGTTCCATTTGCACTCTCTCAGGTTTCCTCTGGTATCACTGTAGGTCATTTTCAGAAGTATGTGATTTTATTAAATTACTTGCTCATAGGAACCTCTTTTTAGAGTTCGTGTTTACATGATCAAATTTATAACGGATAGGTGAGGCAGTCAAATTTGGCTCTACTGAGTGTGAATTGATATATTTTGTTTTTTAGCACTGTACTGCTTACTCTCCAAGTTACTGTTAATAACCTTGACCCAATACCTATCCCTTACCTATACTTCCACCCTGTATTCCACCTACTCAAAGTCTGAAAACTATCAGCAAAGTCATTGTCAAGTCTTTAAAGTTTTGAATGTCTTTGACTCTCTCCATCAGGCAAAAGACTTTTCCTGGCTGCCAAGCTCGCTATCTCCTCATTGCAAATTTATCATGAGCACTGTCTCCTCCAGCCTGTCCCACAAGTCGCTATGTGCCCGCCCAGATGTGAGGACGGTGGAACTCATTAGCCCAGGAGATGAAGAAACAAAACTAAACATCTTTCGACGGCATTTCTCCTTTCCCATTCCAGACCCCTTCCATCAGAGCAGACAAGCTTTGAGGAAAAAACCAAACCTCAGTCCTTTAAAACTCACAATCCTGGCCAATGAACTGAAAGAATGTCGAATTTACCGAAATGAGTTTCAGTGTATGAGGGAGTACATGAAGATGGTCTCTGTTCAGGAGCTCTGGGAATTGATCCTGAAACGCTGGATTGAAGACTATAGTTGGACTTTTAAACCAAAAAAGGCAAAGTCAGATGCTGTGTCTTCAGGAGAAGGTAGGCCTTGGCCGGTGTGGTCAGCATGGTGGGAGTCCACAGGAAGGAAGGTGGGTGGTGGACTCCTATCTGGGGGAGTAAGATCTAGGGGTGGGTAGGACTGGCAGAGAAAATACAGGATGCCCACTGAAACTTGAATTTCAGATAAACAACAAATAATCTTTGAGTAGACGTTTGTCTCAGATAGTGTATGACACATACTACAATTATTTGAATTACAGATAAGCAACAAATAATTCTCAATATTTCCCCCAAATTACACAGGACATACTCGTACTAAAAATTAATTAGTTGTTTATCTGAAATTCATATTTCACTAGCATCCTGTATACTTATTTGCTAAATTTGGTAACTCTATCTAGGGAGTTCTTTGTGTTGACTGTAAGGAGAGCCATATTAGACACAAATTTCAGTCACATTTTTTCAGAAATCTAAGAAATGAACTGTTATTTCCATAACTCAATTTCAGTCCTACTGATGGCAGAAACCTAATGCAGTCAGGTCAGTTTAATTCTATCAACTTGGTTTGTTTTCGGTCAACTCAGGATTTTTTCAGTCAGGCAAAGGTTTATGTCCTTCCCATGTCTTCACCGGGTTGAGCTTAGATCTGAGGGTCCGGGTGCAGGGTGTCCTTGGCTGCCATCTGTCCCTGCTTCTTCCGGCGAGGTGGCCGTGGTCCCAGATGGTCCGCAGATATTGACATCTCTCCACTTTTGGATGCCTCCTCCAGGATGCCCTGTTCCCATCTGTCTGGGGTTGCTGGATCTTTGCTGCCACCTACTGACGTGGTCCCTTGTCCTAGTGGAGGGACCCCCTCAGCCAGCTTCCTTGCTTTTCCTGTCTTGGCTTCTCGACTCTCTCCTATACCTTTCTCAGTTCAGCAAAGTCTCTTTTCTTCTCAGGTGGGAAAAATATCCTCTATCTTCAAATATAGACCCCATCCTGTAATTGTCTGAATCTGTTATTTGTGGTAAAACAGTTTATTCCACGAGTTGGTCAGGAATTTGTTTTATGATATTCAACAATCATGCTTTTGAGAGGCAGAGTTTGTTCTCTCAAGCCTTTATCTCGGCCATGAGCTTCAAATGCCTATTTTGAAACTTAAGCTTTTCTGCCTTCGTTTCTGCGGTGACAGTCTTCTTTCTCTCAAGGACAGTGAATTTGGAATGGAGGTGGGGAGGTGGGGTGGGGAGAGAGAAGCAGAAAATCCTTGGAATGAAAGACACATGGATGGGTACCACGACATAGTGTCCTGCCCATGTTTCACTATAGAGTTTGCATTTCTATAGAGAAAATCAATTTCAGCCAGGCTCGATGGCTCAGGCTGTAATCCCGCGCCTTTGGAAGGCTGAGGTGAGTGGATTGCCTGAGCCCGCGGATTCGAGACCCGCCTGGGCAGCGAGACCTCATCTCTACAATAAATGAAAAAATCAGCCGGGCGTGGTAGCGCATGCCTGTAATTCCGGCTACTCGGAAGGCTGAGGTGGAAGAACCGCCGGAGCCCAGCGGGTCGAGGCTGCGGTGGCCGGGAGCGGCCACTGCACTCCAGTCTGGGCGACAGAGTGAGACTCCAACTCAAAACAAAAAAAAGAACATCAGCTTCAAGTTTACTGTGCCCTCCCCCACCTCCAAGGAGGTGGAAATAAGGTCTCCATGCTCCCCTAGAAGAGCCACTCAGGCAAAGTGTCCCATGGTAGTGCTACCCTCCATCTCCAGGACTGTGCAGGGAAGCCCAGGTCAGCTTCCCCAGAGACTGCCCGCCCCGGCACGGCCCAGCCACCCCCACTGAGGCCCAGGGGACTCAGCCACAGGCACAGGCAATGCTTGGGAAGCAGCGGTCAGGGGAAGCCTGGGCAACTGGGGCAGAACCGTCTACCTGTTCTTCAAGACTGCAGGTAATTTGGCCTCATCCCCCATCCTACATAGGATAAGTTTGGAACGGTGGGGGGTGTTGTCATTTCTCTCAGTGGTATGAGGACCTCTTTCTAATCAGTTGGCCATAAAGCTGGTGGGAAATCCAGCTGAGATGGAAGAAGCAAAGGTCAGGTGAGGAGTGGAGAGCTGGCCCAAGGGGTGTCCGGATGTGTGACGGGCGAACAATCCCTCAGAAAAGCCAGCCACGCCCCCACACACCAGCTCGCTATTGGAAAACCGTGATGAAGACTGCTCAGCAGAAATGCATGGTGTGATGACTGCCAAGCTTGCCTGCATGTCACCATATCTCTGATGTGTTTGTCATGACAATGTGGATGATAACTGGTTAGCAGTGTGGGCTCTGGAGCCAGGCTATCAGGTTTCCAATCCTAGTTCTGCTCTTTTTCCTGTGTGACTTCACTTCTCAATGCTTGTTTTCCTCATTTTTAAGACGGGAATTGGCCTATAGGATGGAATTTGCCTGTAGGATGGTATTTGCCTGTAGGATGATTGAAAGAAATAGGTTGTTTAGTCATATAAAACGTCGAGTGTCACACCTGTTCATGCCAGCTCTCATTTTGTCACTTCACGTCTGCACAGGGTGGGATGGCTGGGTGGCCGACGCCCTGTGCTTGCTGTGCGTCTCACATTGTGGGTTGGCCGAGGAGGAGCTGCTCCAGCTTCTGGACATGCTGGGCTACAGGAATCACTACAAAGTGACCCCAGTGCACTGGGCTGCCTTCCGCAATGCCACCAGACTGTGGGTCCAGGAGAAGCCCGACGGTCTTCTGTACTTCCAGCACCAATCCCTGCGAAGTGCGGTGGAGCACAAGCTTCTGGGTGAGTAAGACTTGCACCTGCGAGGTACCCACTGGGAAAGCAGGGGTCGCGTATGAGGGCCATAGGTGTGATGTTCCGAGCAAACACTCCGCTGCTATCTCTCGACACCAATAAATCAAGAGACAGAAAGAAATTTATTTCTGAATTCAGAATTCAGAGAGACAGAAGCTGACTCCTGGCATTTCTGGAACCATTCTGCTTGTCCCTTAAGTTTCACAACCCTTTTTTTTAAAAAAATAAGTTTAGGGTTTCTGGTGTCTACAGATTGACTAGTTTGTCAACAGCAATATTTATGGTCTGCATTTCCCAGTGCCGGCCACCAAAAGTTAGCTCACAGTGTTAACAGTAACACCGAATCAGAGTTGAATAAGTCTGTCATAGAGTATGGGAGTTACCAGAGCATATTACAAAGTAAAAGATTATTCACTACAACATATTGTTGGTTAGTGGTTATAATATGCAAAAAGTTATATAAATTACAGGACTTATGGTTATATGGGTGCATATTTTCAAATCTATGGCCACTGATGGAAAGGAGTGAATAGGATGGTCTGTTCTTTGAAGTGAATTAACAGGGAATATATAGGGGATAAGGGATGTGCTTTCTTTTGCTAATTCTCAGGAATGTAGGCACGTTCAAGCCCTGCTTAAACATTCATTATGCCTTTTTTTTTAAGGATTGTAGCAATATGGACAGACAACAGTGGGTTTCTGTAGCATAAGCACGTATGAGAGTGCTTGTGTAAGTTAGGACTTGTAAGTGACAAGAGTAAGTGAGGACTGACTTCAGTGACTGGACACCTCAGGGTTTACTCTCTATGTAATAATAGACTTCCGGAAGCAGCAGTCCTGGGCTACTCTCTTGGCTCCACAAAAGCACCTGAGACCCAACCCCTTAGTTGTTCTTGATTCACAACACTGGCTTGCATTCTCAAGGCCACCTCATCTACATGGCTGCTGGAGTTCCAGCCATCACGTGTCAGGCCACAGGAAGGAAGAAGAGCTTGCCACGTCCTTTAAGGAGCTTTCCCAGTAGTTTTCTTTCCTAGCATTTCTGAGTCTCTGACTCAGAACTTCATTACTTGGCCACAGCTAGACACAGGGAAGCTGGGGAGAGAGGTTCAGCCTGGGCATGCTGCTGCCCTAAACTAGGGTGGGGTTCAGTCATGAAGGAGAGGGAAATGGGTCCTGGGTTGGAATTCACAGTCTCTGCCCCGATTCTGAAATCAAATTCTTACCTCTTCTGAAGAAGACTGCTGGTCTGCACCCAAGAACACCTGACGAGGGAGCAGAGCACTGCAGGTCTAAGGACTAGAAAAATCTTTAGATCACGACCTCTGGGAAGATTCTAAGCTGCGTGCAAATGTCCTTTTAGATTTATTGTGTTCTATTTTACTTTCATTTTTAAAAAGAGAAATCTTTTTTACTACTTCCTCCTATGTTGTGATCAACCCCACTGTCTCTTAAGTCATGTGATTACAGGAGAGCACGGGCCTTGGGATGAGCAGCTCCAAAACTTATGTCCACTCCTCTCTCACTTGCTGTCTGGTGGTTTGCAATGCACTCATTTCTTCCATTTCCCTAAGGACGATGATGCTCCTGTTGGTGCAGGGACTAAAGGGCCATTGTGTGGCTGTTAAAATTCTGGGTACACATTGCACCCCTTTGCTGCATGGTGAACCCACAGATAAAGCACTGCTGGCAATAGTCACTCTTGTCAGGAAAAAAAAAAGTTGTCCTGCTGCAGAATGGGACTATGAGTGATAGTGTTTGCTAGAGGAGTCAGGTGTTATAACAGCAGTAATTCAACACCACGTGGCTGGGCATGAGAAGCAAGCCCATCCCCCAAGGATGAGATGATCCTATGCCTGGGCCAGAGTACTTGAATTCACTGTGGTCTTTTTGGAAAGAGTTATCTTTGACCCTTTTGTCTAGATGTCACAATCATTTAGAGGCAAGCTGGTCTGTCTTAGCCATGTGCATCTACATGCTTCTTGACTTTGAAGCTAATGTTCTGTCTAGCATCGTGCTCAATGTGTAACCTAAATTACTCCTACCAAAAGTTGGCTAACCTGGAGAGAGACGCTTTGGTCCCTGGTCTGTGGTAGAGCTGTCTCTTTCCCCTTTTGTTACTACAGCTGAGGATTGCTTGGCCTCAGATATTTTGTGTGCACAGGTGTGTGTGTATGCATGCATGTGTCAGTGGGGCAGGGAATAGGGCAGAGGAGAGTTGCAAAGCTGAGACCGGTTCCCTGGGGCCTCTAGACCCTGTGTCATGTGAATACTGCTCACGACAGCCACATTCTTTTTTCAGTGCATTCATGGTGCCAGGCACGTCATAGATATTATTTCACTTATTTCTTGTGCAACTAGAACATCCTCAGACTAGGCTGGTCCTTTTCCACCAGCCCCCTGGAAAGTCCTCACACACTCCAAGTGTTCCTGGGTGTCCCAGTAGAGTCACTTGTGCTCACCCATCTTTTGTTGGCTGTAGTCACCAGAGTCTCTTCCAGTTTCTGCTTACCAAGATGAGCGCCTCACAACTGCTTCTGCTGATGGCGTTCACCGTGAGACAACCAGACTTCATGTCAAGGGTCTCTCCCTCTCCCCTCATCCCAAAGCAGCCAGACCTCAAGGTGCCAAGGTTGTGCTGCTTCCACTAGACATTGGGGGCAGGTGTCTCCTGGGAGAGGTGGGCACCCGTATGGCCTTCTCTCCCACCTCCACCTGTCTCTCCCAGAAAGAGCCTCTTTCATTTCTTCTTGTAAACCTGTACCCTACAACAGTGCCCCTAAATCCAATGTTTTCCAACTCTGTTGAACAGAAGAAGTCGATAGAGCCTCATGGTTAAAAGTGGGTCCTGATGCCAGATGGGGGGTGAACCTGGCTTTCTCTTGTTAGCTGATAACCTTTGTCACATTATTTTACCTTGTGTCCCAGATCCCTCACCTACGCAATAAGTGCATCAACCTCATTGACTGTTACTTGTGAGTAGTCAGTGAGGTGATTCCTGCAAAGCACTCGGAAGAAATGGTATCCGCCATGAACTCCTTTTCTGTTTTCCTCACGAATCTTCCCTGTGGCTTCCTACCTACCACCTTTCCCAAGATGTCCCATGCAAATTAGGTGGTGATCTTGAATTCTGCAGGCCTAAAGAATATTCTGTTTCATCAGATACCCTCAAACAGTTCTGAATTCCCTGGGCCCCACTCGCGTCGTACTCAGTAGACGTTTGCTGAGTGAGGGCTTGGCTGGGCCTGCCTTCTGAGGTTTGGGGCCTGCCATTTCTAGCGGTCTCCGTCCCTAGGAGCTTAGCCTCTGGCGGCTGCCTGCAGTGGAATCGGGAGCTGGAGTGGTGAGTACAGGAGCGGAAGTGCGAGCCACCTGTCGTGACACCCTGGTCATGGCACAGGAGCCGCTTGGTTTCATTCGCCCTGTCCTCATCTCACTCTCAGGTCTACATGCTGTTGGCAAATGGGCCACCTGCCCTCCTCCTGGAAATCACCACAGCATCTACTAGAAGTGGCACCTCTAGTGACTCGGGAGTCTGACAGAACTGGTGTGACCTTACGCAAGGTGCTTACCTCCCTATGACTCATTCTCACCTGCAAAATTAGCATAAGAACACTTTACCTTGAGGGCATTAAAATGCCCATTCACATAAGGTACAGAACCTGTACCTTACTACACAAGTGCTATGATCAACACTTGTGGTGGTCATTTGAGCCAAATGCCAGCATTTCCAGTCCCTCTCCCACCATGGGAACGACTTCCTGGCGCCCTTGTTGGGTGGAGCCTTGTGACTAAATGGCCCCTGACAACATTCAGGATGGCGGCTACTCTGTCAGCCCCACAGTGGGGAGACCTGGGTTGGAGTCTGGGTTTCCAACTTGTGGTGGACATAATAAGTCCTTGCTCTTTGAAGGCATTGAGGTTTGGGGGTTGTCTGTCAGTACAGCATACCCTAGCCCCCCACGAGCAATGACAACACTACATAAATGTCAGCCATTAAGTCATTCAGTGAGAGCTGAACTGCACCATGAATGCATAGGTGATGCTTGGGTCGTACCTCATGTAGCCAGAGGAGCACTAGAGGTAAGTCAGGTCACGTGCTGACCAGATATAAGTCATCTGACCTCTCCGATTTTAGGTGGCTTCATTTGTCATATGGGGACTTCTATCCATAGCTTTCTCATGAGGCTATTTTGTTAAAAGATCAGATTAAATTCAGTATGTTCTATGAAAATGTTTTACACATTTTAAGCATTTGTTTTAACACTCCAAATCTTGGAATCAGGGTAATATTTGTCCCAGTTTTTTTTTCTCCCTCATTCCCCATGTTGTTTTCCCAGTTTGCTTCCCACACACAGATCTTTACCACAATTGGGGGTGGGGCGGGGAGGGAGTTTTCTTTTTCTTCCATGGGTAGCTTAAGCACTGTACTTGCCCTCTGGGCAGATCTGCACACTTTAGACCAGCTAGTGCGAAGACTCTCTAAATGAACAGGTGACTTGGTAATGATTGCAGTGGGAATGCAGAATGGTTGTTTAAGCAACGGGCTACCCTCTAATTACAGTTCTTATGAAAAGCTGGGTATGGTATGCCATCCAGCTGTGTGTTCCATTTATCTTGTAAGAAAAAGTGCTCGAGTGATCCTCCTGCCTCAGCCTCCTGAGCAGTTGGGACGACAGGTGTCCCACCAACACCAACTTGTCTAATTTTTTTGTTTTTATTTTCTGTAGAGACAGGGTCTGGCTATGTTGCCCAGGCTGGTCTCAAACTCTTTTTTTTTTTTTTTTTTTTTTTTTGGAGTCTCACTCTGTCGCCCAGACTGGAGTGCAGTGGCCGCTTCCGGCCACCGCAGCCTCGACCTGCTGGGCTCCGGCGATCCTTCCGCCTCAGCCTTCCGAGTAGCCGGGATTACAGGCATGC